TTTTTTTAAAGAGATGGAGTCTCATTCTGTTACCCAGGCTTCAGTGCAATCACAGCTAATTGTAGCCTCAAACTCCTGGGCTCAAGTGATCCTCCTGCCTCAGCCTCTTGAGTAGCTAGGATTAAAGGTACAAGCCACTGAGCCCAGCTACCACCACAGAACCCCTTATTAGAGGACTATCTCATCTGATTAATAATTTGCACATCTTGGAAAATGAGAAGCTGGAGTAATATTTGTATGCAACTCTTGAGACAATTGCCTAAATTACACATGATATTTTATTCTAATATTTCAACATGATATTCTTGCTATATAGTTTAGTGACAAATCTGTCCATGAAGCTAGCAGCTTCATACCAAGGTTCTTTTATGAACCATCTCAACTATGCCATATGCTTAAAAGCTCTGTGTTACAATTCTCTACATCCTGTATTATATTCAGCCAGTACCTTGAATATTATTGATACAAAAAGCTACTGATTTTGTACTGTCCTTCTAAAACTTACAAGAAAAACTTTGACTTTGTGCTATTTTTCTAAACTATTAATATTAGAAAACTCATTATAAAACTCACCTCCCCTCCATTAACAAAGTCCAGAACAAAATAAAGCTTTTCGGCTGTTTGGAACGAATAATGCAACCCAACCAAAAATGGATGTTTCACGTTTTTCAAGAGCACATTACGTTCAGCCATAATATGTTTTTGCTGGAAAAAAGGCAAAAGATCATTTGCATTATACACTAGAAAACAAATCTCTTAACAGAAAATGGGCTTGGGAGAAACAACAGCTATTTTATTTTACCTCTTTTCTGTTGAGAACTATTTTCTTCTGTAACACTTTGACAGCATAAAATTTTCCATCCAGTTTCCGTTTTGCAAGAAGAACCTGTTATGGTTAAGCATTATGTATACTATTAGAAATTTCAAATTTTGATAGAAATGATTCACTTGTCAATACATCAATACTTCTTAAATTTTGTAGAAAGAAATTCCACAAGGGACCTAGATTATGTTTTTGTTTTAGAAATCAAGTAGTCAGGCACCATTTCTTTGTCACTTAATATGTTGATATTTGAGATTTTTTTACTAAATTTAAGTGCCCAAAATCTATACTGCTTGAGAACTTTGTGTGTGTATGTACTCATGCACTCCAGCCCTGAATCCTGGAGACTACTTGTTGAAAATATTGTTATAAACTTCATGGCTATATTAACAAGGAAAAGGAAATGATTTTTAGGTAACAAAAATGTACTGTTTCATACTGAGATTCTTCTTAACAGGTTTTAAATTCAGAAGAGTTCAGAGGAAAAAGTTCCATGGATTTCTATAGTGGTCTGGGTCGCATGCAGATGCTTTAAAGAATCTGAAGAAATCTAGAGTATCTTGTAGTGGTGCAATTTTGACTCACTGCGGCCTCGACCTCCCCAAGGCTCAGGTGATCATCCTGTCTCAGCCTCCCAAATAGCTGGAACTACAGGCGTGTGCCACCATACCTGGCTAATTTTTGTATTTTTTGTAGAGATGGGGTTTTGCCATGTTACCCAGGCTGGTCTCAAACTCCTGGCCTCAAGCGATCCACCTGCCTCGGCCTCACAAAGTGCTGGGATTACAGGCGTGAGCCACTGCACCTGGCCTGCTTTTCTTTGTTTTATTGTACTTTGTTGGCTTCTAATCATTTTGCAAGATTTTACTTTTGAAATTAAACATACCATACATATAGAAAAACTCGTATCATTACATCTCAATAAATTTTTACAAAGTGAATATACCTATGTTACCAGTATGCAGTTCAAAAAATAAAACACTTCCAGTAGCCTGAAGCCTCTCTTTTGCTAAATCTTAATCACGACTCATCCTTCTCCTCAAAGGCAACTACCACTGTGTCAACTTGAAATAACAAACATAACTTTTGCCTTTTTGAATTTCATGTAATTAGAATCACATGGATAAAGCTGTCTGTCTCAATTCTTTCACTCTAAATTATATAAAATATTCATTCACATGTGGCATATAGCATAGTTCTCATATTTTCTTTGTTATGCAGAATATTCCATTATATGACACACTACAATGTATCTACTCTCTTGCTGATATATAGTCAGATTATTTATGAATAGTGATGCTATAAACATTCCTGTATATACATTTTCTAGTGGATATTCATTTCTGTTGAATATGTAACTAGGGAGTAGAACCAATGTGTCATAGGTAATGCATATATTCAGTTTCAAGAATTAACAACAATTTTCAACAGCATAAAAAACAAAACACCTAGGAATAAATCTAATTGGAGATATGCAAAAATTCTAAACAGAATATCATAAAATGTTATTGGGAAAAATTAAAGATGAGCTATATTAGTAAAGCAATTGTCGTGGATTTGACAATACAATATTGTAAAGATAATTCTTCCCAAATTGATCTACAGGGTCAATGCCATCCCAATCAAATTCAAATAGAATTTTTGCAGAAACTGACATGCTGATTCTGAAATTTATATTGATATGCAAAGGACTAAAAATAGTCTCTTGAAGAGCAAGAAGAAGGGAGAACTTATTCTGTCCAATATCAAGCTACAGGTGACATGACAATGCGGTACTAGTGCCAGGATAGTCAGATAGGCCAATGAACAGAAATGCCATCTAGAAACAGAAATACATAACTTATAATCTAAAGGGGGTGGATGTGGTAGCTCACGCTGGTAATCCTAGCACTATGGGAGGCTGAGGAAGGCAGATCACTTGAGGTCAGGAGTTCAAGACCAGCCAGGCCAATGTGGTAAAACCCCCATCTTCACTAAAAATTCAAAACTTAGCTGGGCATGGTGGTGTGTGCCTGTAATCCCAGCTACGTGGGGGGCTGAGGCAGGAGAATTGTTTGAAGCTAGGAGGCAGAGGTTGCAGTAGGCCAAGATAGCTCCATTGTACTCTGCACTCCAGCCTGGGTAACAGAGTGAAACATTGTCTCAAAAAAAAAAAAAAAAATCTAAAAACAGATCTGTGAAGGTATAAATAGTGAATACATGAAAAAGGTGGCCCTGCATATCAGGTGGCTCATCAAATGGGGACAGAACAGTTTTCACAAACTGTATAGGATCAGCTGGTTATCTACATGGAAAAAGATGAACAGTGACGCTATTCCTCACATTATATGCAAGAACCAAATCCTGATAGATTCTAGATCTAAACATGAAGTTTCCAAAAAATAATCCCTTTTTTTTTTTTTGAAATGGGGTCTTGCTACGTTTCCCAGCCTGGTCTTAGACTCCTGAACCCAAGTGATCTTCCTGTCTCAGGGTCCGGAGTAGCTGGGATTACAGGTATGTGCCACAATGGCTGGCTCACATAATGCTTCTGTTTTTAATGACAACTATCTCTAGCATTCCAATAGAATTTTGGGCATTTTGAGAGCAGGATTCATTTCTAACTTTCTATTGCTTATACTAGCACAATACTCAGCATGTAGCAGATGGATAATATGTATTTGCTGAGTGAATAAACACACATGGGTTTAATTGCATAGCCACAGTTTCTAGTCTCAAAGAAACTCAGAAAACAAATTAGAGTTACCAAAAGCTACAAATATAGCAAAATATAATTAAACACATACATATTCATTTTTACTAAAGACTGAAGTGCAGTGCAAAAAAAAACACTTAAATATATTCAATGATTCTGGTAACTTCATCTATGATGCGTTCTTATTAACCTTGGCCTTAAGTGATTCTCCTTCCTTGGTATGGCTATACTGCCAAGATTACACGATTCATCTGACACCATAAGAAAATAAGCAGGGCCTTTACACATTCATTTCCTTCTCAAACTGTTATTTATACAGTTGCTCATTTTTGTCTTTCTAGCTTCAACTTAAATAGCATGTCTTCTGAGAAGCTAAGTGGGAATCTTCCTTCAGCTACCTATTGTCCTTTGTCATTTCACCCTATTCTTCATTTCCTGCACAGCTATTATTATTTGTACTTATTTACTTGACTGAATATTTTTAATTGACTATTCCCCCCCACCCTAGATTGTAAGCACCACAAAGGTAGTAATCATGTCAATTTCCATAATTTTCTAATTAAGGCCCAGTAGGGCACCTGGCACACAGTAGGTGCTCAACAAATACCTTCTGAAGTAAGTGAACTTTATTTCAGAATTTGAGTAGATGCCTTTTCTCCCTAATTATTGTTAGTATTTTGAGGGTAGAGAAAGTATGTTAATCCCATATCCTGCAATCAAAAAGTCCTGTGGCTCACACACATAAAGCATGCATTCCTTAAGTACTTACTTATTGAATGAGAAAATAAAAATACTTTGGGCTGGGTGTGGTAGCTCACATCTGCAATCCCAGCACTTTGGGAGGCGAAGGTGGGAGCATTACTTGAGGAAAGAAATTTGAAACCAGCCTGGGCAACAGAGCAAGGCCCTGTCTATAAAACAATTAAAAAATTAGCTGGGTGTGGTGGTGTGTACCTGTAGTCCCAGCCACTCAGAAGGCTGAGGTGGGAGAATGGCTTGAGCCCAGGAGTGGGAGGATGGCTTGAGCCCAGGAGTTCAAGTGTGTTATGACTACACCACTACGCTACAGCCTGGACAACAGATCGAGCCCCTGTCTCTAAAAAACCAAAAATCAAAACCAAACAAAAACCTCACAAAACACTCTTACCTTGCCAAAGCTTCCTTTTCCAATAACTTTTAAGAAATCAAAGTCGGTTGGTTTGGCACTGAAATAAATTAACAATAAGAATTAGCCTCCTAGAAACTGGAAAGATTAACTTTTAAACATTTCTTAGCGCTTCATTCTTTATAAATAAATGTTGGGCACAAAATACTTCAGCATATGAACTCCAGCTTTCCTGCTGAGTATCTCACCTTTCATATACAATAGGTAGCATGAATAGTAACATCTACTTTCTGATTAAATAAAACATTTCCTAACTTTATTTAAGCCTCATTAAGTTCTGCTTAAGAGGAACTTCAATAATACTCTCTTTGGGAGGAAATATATATGCATAGCCTACATGTAGAGTTTTGAACTCAAAATACCTTCTATCTAAACCAATTTTACATGGCCTGGTGTTGTTGAGGAAACTTAGTGATACATTCTAAGGACTATATATAGCATATGAGGTTAATTCTGAAAATGAAGTTGCTAGTTGGAATACCTAGTAAAGATGCTAAGAATAATTTATGATGGATAAAAAAAGTCATTACAGTGTTTCACATATAAATCACTTATTGTACATTAAAGATAGAAGACTTCTCAGCTTATTCTCATGGATGGTAACATAGGAAAGCCAGGAACAGAAAAGCCAGAGGGAATACTAAGACTGCCCTTTTATTTCTGTTGGCCTATCAGGTAAAAACAGCATTGGCTGTTATGTAGGCAAAAACACATGACAGCAGAAAGGGGAGCTTAAGCAGCCAGAAGAGCTGTTTCCTCCAACATGGTCTGAATTCTCAATTTGTATGGGAAGAAGGGAATAAATCCATTTAGATTTCGAATTTGCTTCATTATCAAAATAAAGTTAATTCAAACATTAGAGTAGAACCAGGACTAGGTTAAATAATGACAGGTAAAGATTAGTGAGATAAACACTTAACTATATTTAGATGTTTTTCTTCTTCAAAAACCTGCTCTTTGGACTATTTTCTTCTTTAAAGATATGCAGAGGTACTGAATTAACTTTGTAAACAAATCTAACAGGGAAAAACATGCAGACCCCTCAAACAAAGTAAATAGGCAAACTGAGGCCATACTCCAAGCCCCATTGTTAACTGCTAGGGATGAACCTTAACTGAAAGCAAATTTCCATTTTTTGGCCAGGCATGGTGGCTCATGACTGTAATCCCAGCACTTTGGGAAGCTGAGGCAGGCAGATCACCTGAGATCAGGAGTTCAAGACCAGCATGCCCAACATGGTGAAACCCTGTCTCTACAAAAATACAAAAATTAGCTGGGCATGATGGTGGGTGCCTATAATCCCAGCAACGCAGGAGGCTGAGGTGGAAGAACTGCTTCAATCCAGGAGGCGGAGGCTGCAGTGAGCCGAGATCGCACCATTGCAGTCTAGCCTGAGTAACAGAGCAAGACTCCGTCTAAAAAAAAGGGGGGGAGGGAAG